CCCTGTCTTTCTCCCCCTGAAGCTGGTGGGTTGGAACACTGACCTTTTGCTTAGCAGCCCAATGCCCCTAATTAGGCTACATTTTATCATCATTTGATACTAATTTTTCCTGGGCTGGACAGGGGAGTCTAAGCAATTCATTTTCAAACATACTCTGCCTGAGGGCAAACATTCCCCCCTCCAACAGTTTCATTCATTTATTTACTTATATCTCACCCCCCACAACGATTTCATTGGCACATAATTTACATATTTTGCAATTCAATAGTTTAATCATAACAAGGAGAATTGTACAATCATTAACACATCAATTTTAGAGCATTCCCCTCTCTCCTTGTTAAATTGCCTTTAAAATTAATTGTGCAATCATAATCAGTTCAAGTGCTCCCTCCTCCTTTCCACCTCCATTATATACTCCTGAAATCCCCTTTCCCTTCCTATCACCCCGATGCCCCCACACACCCTTGCATCCCCTACAACCCCTTGTCTCAGTTATTATCATTATGCATCCACTCCTCCTGTGCTTTACAGCTGGGAAACCCAACAGAAACAATACAAAACAAAATTGCACTAAGGTGGTAAGGATAGACAAAATCATAATAGTATAAAGACAAAAATACAAATAATGAGTAAGAAGGAAAAGACCCCCCTCCCCTCAATCAACATTCAAAAAGCCATGGAAGAAATTTATGTCCTGGAACAAGTAAAAGATACTTGCACCCAGAATAAACTCATGATGGGTCTATAGGGAGGTCAACTAGCCAAGTATTGAGTTTGATCCAGCATAATCAAGATTACATTGGTCTCTGCCTGATAGTAAGGCTGTTTGAGACTCTTGCCTGAGGCTAGAGGGGATCTGCCACTGAATCAGCCTGACTAGATATTCAGATGGATTTGGGGCCCCCACTGTCCTTCATAACCTTCTATAAATTGGTCTTCATAATTGTATCTCTGATACTTTTCTCTTCGCCATGTTCAAATTTTGTCATTGTCATCTTTGGATCACAAGCTGGTGTGCTTCTTCCGTATTGATTTATTTGACTCCTCCCCTTACATGGCTGCTTGTTTGAATACAAACCTTTAAGACCCCAGACACTATTCAATTGATATCTACTTTCTTCAGCACATTTTGGTGTAGCACTTTTATCTTCAGTGATCATTTCATGAAGGTAAGTATTGAGCAGGGCCATGTTATCAGAACTAACTGTTCTTGAATTGGGGCAAGAGTTAAGTAGGGGCCCAGAATCCATCTGCTTGTCCATGGGGCTTACATGTCTCAGGTTTACTTTGGCAACCTTGGTGGTCATAATATGACAAAATCAAAACCCCGTAAGACCAACAGTCTCAATAGCAGCATTAAACCAACCAGCAACCAAACAAAGAGAACACACACACACACACACACACACACACACACGAAGAAAGAGAAAGAAAAAAAGCAAGCTACAAGCAGGAAAGCAAAAACCCATATAAACAAAGAAGTACAGCATTGTCAGTCAACCCCTGATATCCTGGTTCCATGTCCTCTTCTGAATCTCTATCAGTTCCCTGTCAATGTACTGCTGCAACTATTGCTGGATGATCGTCAGTATTGGCCTATAATTAGTGATGACCTATATGTCATAAAGTAGAACTCTTCTATAGGATTTTTTGTCTATAATGTTTACAGAAGCAGTTTGCCAGATCTTTCTTCTACCTATCCCTTCATACAGTTTCTTTTTTCAAACTTCCACATTTCCTTTCTCTTTTCTCCTTCCTTCCTACTTCCCTCCCTTCCTCTTTCTCCTCTTTTTCTTTTACTGTGAATTAGGTGGTTTTGTTTTTTCACATTTTTAGACCATCAATTCTGAGTTCATACCACTCATCAACATTCACCTTACATTCTCTCCTCCTCTACCCTTCCCATTTCTCTTCTCCCATTTATGGACCTCTGTTCTGCTTTATACCCAAGTCTACACCTGCCAAACTTCTGCTTTGTTCTTTCATCTTTGCCCTCCCACTCTTGGTAGGAAATGGAATTTTAGGTTTTTGAGAACCAAGATGAAAATGCTTTAGAAAAAAAAATCTGGCCTTTGGAATTCAAAGTGACTGCTGTATATTCAAACAGGAGCCAGTGGATCTTAGCAGTCATGCGTTGGACTGTTCAACACCACCGGTCACTTTGCAGAGGAAAGATGAGGCTCTCTACTCCTGTTAAGGCTTATAGATTTGGAAACCCACAGGGGCAATTCTACTCTGTCCTACAGCATCACTGTGATGGGCATCAACTTGATGGCAGAGAGAGAGAGAGAGAGACAGAGACAGTTAGAAGACGTGTCCACTCCATGCCTGCCCAGAAGTTCTGAAAGAGAATTCCTGTTGCATAATTGGGACATTTCTTTTTTTTTTGTAGTGATACAGGAACAACACCTCCAGAAAGTGGTATTTTTGGATTCATGATAAACTTCTCTGCATTTCTTGGTAAGTGCACAGTAATTGTTACAAATAAATGAAAATCTACA